ATCGCTAGCCGATGACCCTTATCGGTACCTACAAGCCTACAACATTTGTTCGAGCACCATTAAACTGTCCCTAACCTTTGCCGTGTTATAACTCTTTGAAAATTGGAGTGGCGGCCGTCTAGTTTTTCGCCATTTCGATTATTTTTCACCACCGTTAGTATCTGTCCAGGGTGTAGGCCGATATTAGTTAAGACGTGACCCTGCAAGTCTTGCCATTAAGTCGGATAGTAGTACACGATCACCTCGAAGAGCCGAACGCAGTTATCATTTTATTCGTATTAATCTCAGCGTACTCCATTTGATATCCATATTATGGGGGTGAATAAAAAAACATAGTCCGCCATTTTTATTCAATATACATGTGTTTGTAAATCATTAAGATTCTACTGCTGTTTGTCTAAGTCTTTAGAGTTCTTTGGATCTTACCTAAATCTAGGTAGAAGGAATTCAGTATTAGAAAAGGAACTGGTATTTCTCGAACTCAGAATACTCACCCTGTACGGTATCTGCAAATTTAAGCAAAAATTATTATAGTACCTAAGTAATTTAAGTACATAACTTTTAATTGGTTAAATTAAAATCTTACAAAAATTACGTCACATCCATACCATCTAGGGTTTCCAACTTTTAAAGATAGACAATTTATTTACAAAATATAGTTTAAACAAGTGTTCTCAATTCATTGATCTATTTCATTGCAGACTGTTTTTAACAAAATATCCATAACGAGTTTAACAATTTTGTGGTCGATTGTTCCACTATTTGTCATTATTGTTTGGTATTTTAATTTAAAATATTATGGATTCAGTCAAAAAGGACTTTCTACTTTTATCTCTTATGACGAAAGAAAGTGTTCGTCACAACAAGATTCTTTTCCACGCATACGGCGAGAAGGCTTTCACCATTCTCATTTATACTTTCATCACCAAACGTTCCCAATATCCTTTCATAACCAAGCCTCCTCACCCCAACCCTTCCATTAATATCGCCTAATATCACAATATTTTCATTAACCTTGCATTTCATTAACACCATCCTTACCAACTCCCAAAACTGCTCTCGGATATAAGTGGGCTTAGACATGTCTGGGGCGTAGACCCCTAAAACAAACAACTTCTTTAAACCCACTTTCATTCGTATCCATAGCAGTCTCGGGCTTACACATTCATACTCTTTTACACAATGACCCATTCTTTCTGAAAGGATGATACCGACTCCCTGGCATGCCCGCTCGGTCTCGTCTACACCAGACCAGTACGCGGTATACATGCCATGTGTAGTGGCATCCTTTCCCTTCCGTTTCGTCTCATTCACACATAACACGTCTATTCCTCTATCATACATCATATCGCATACTTCATCCATCTTATCATTCATTCCTCCACATACATTCAATGTAGCCAGACGGGCTTCCGCAATCCACTTTTCGCCCCTCCGGGGGACAGAACGTGACGGGTGGCGAACCTCGTCGCCGTCGAAAGTCAGGAGCATGGATACATTCCTGAATAGGCTTATGCTCCCCAAAGGACTTGAAAAGTACATTGGCATGTGGTGTATAATGGTGACCGCTTGAAAATCAAAATTTAATACTTACTTGAGGAGCTTCTCGTTTAACAATCTGAAACAAATTATTTACTAAATGTTATTTAAAACTAGCGACCCACCCCGGCTTCGCCTGGGTAGCATCTGTTAATGTGGCGTTATTAAGATAATCATCAAAAACCATTTGTATTATAAAAGAGACGAGAATTTCTGGTCCCAATTTTAATAGGTTGAAATATAGTTTGAAAAGGCGTCATATTTTTCTATTTCAAAATATAAAAAACTAGCCCAATTCACTATCCGGAAGATGAGAAATCTTAAAAATAAGTTTATGTCACGAGTAAAATAAGAAAACGATTAACTACTTTAATCGATTAATGTGAAAGAGTTTTAACAATTAAACATAAAAACAACTTACGGCAGATGATTGATTCAATTAAAGTAATTATATAAATTACAATTAACGTAGTGTAAACAGTTTAAAAAAAAGAATATCAACATAATAAAAATAAATCTTAAAATCGGTACTCGTTTACAGTTCGATTTATTACTTGTCTTTTCAAATGTATTTTTAATCTGTGCTAACAGTGACAGCTCCTGCCTGACTAGTATGGAGTGTAGAGAGAAGGAAGACCATCTCTATACTATGAATAGTGTCCCTAAAAACGTGTCCAATAAGAGTGGCACTGCAGTAGCATAGGATAATTTAAAAAAAAAAGCACCAAAAGTGATTAGAGTAAGATGGAGAAATAAACAAGGACCGACAAATCCGCTTGGTTTTGTACTACGTAAATAGTTGAGATTTTTTATACTGGCATTTTACTAACTACTCTAGTCATGAAATTTTTAAAATAATTGAATTCAGCTGACTTCACTCCGTTCATAACAGCTATCTTCATATCGTAGTTTTTCAGACGCCAGCGCTATTGTGGTAGGTTTTGGAACCTCTATTTTCAGTAAATAGTAGGACACTTATTCAACTTTCGCCCCTTATAAGATGGTTCTCCTTGTACTCTACACTCCATACTGACTAGCTTGCTACATATTTATTTATCTAATGGTGATCACTCGCACTCGTCGTCTCGTATCGTTCAAGAGTTTTGGCGGGAATTTGACCGGCGTCTGTTGGCTGCTCCTGTATTATTGTTTAAATAATGGTTTGAAGTGGATTTTGGTATGTAAAAGTGGTGCGATTTTGTGTATTAAGTCTCTGCGCATGTGAACTATTAACGGAAACGGCGAAACAAGTGCTCTGATGGTGATGTGATTCTCAAGATAAGGTGTCTGTCTACTTAGGCACCCTGAGGTACCATCGCCAAATATCAGCTGTCTGCTGGCTCAAGTGCCGTCAAAATCTCCCAATTTCACATTATGAAGCAGTGTACTATGAAGGATAATAATTATTAATTGCAACGTCAGGCTCAGAAGGGCTAGAACCCAGAGCCGTAAAGTCAGTTATTAAAAAAAATCGTATCGTTTTTTTCTATGCTATGGAGTGTAGAGCAGTGTAGAGTAGCTTGCTACATATATATTTATCTATGGTGTAGAGTAGAAGGAGAACCATCTTATAAGGTGCGAAAGTTGAAAAAGTGTTCCAATATATACTGAAAATAGAGGTTCCAAAACCTACCACAATAGCGCTGGCGTCTGAAAAACTACGATATGAATATAGCTGTTGTAGACGGAGTGAAGTCAGCTGAATTAAAATATTTAAAAAATTTCATGACTAGAGTAGTTAGTAAAATGCCAGTATACAAAACCTCAACTATTTACGTAGTACAAAACCAAGCGAATTGGTCGGTCCTTGTTTATTTCTCCATCCTATTCTAATAAACTTCGGCGCTTTTTTTTTTAATTTATCCTATGCTACTGCAGCGCCCCCCTTATTGGACGCGATTTTAGGGACACTTTTCATATACAGAGATGGTCCTCCTTCTACTCTACACTCCATATTCTATGCTTAAAGTCGTTAACGCTTAGTACGTGTTTCCAGTTTATAAAAAGTACTCTGTGGCAAAGAGAATATAACCACTACTCTGTGGTACGTGTGCAAGGGATGATCGATATGGTTATAATAGCTCAGGTGGATAATCGGGCTGTCCCGAAATCTAAAGACCCCGGATGATCGATGGGAGTTTTGGCGGGAACTTGACCGGCGGCAGTTTGCTGCTCCTGTTTTATTGTTTAAATAATGGTTTAAAGTGGACTTTGATATGTGAAAGTGGTGCGTTTTTGTGTATTAAGTATCTGCGCATGTGAACTATTATTGGAAACTGTAAAACAAGTGCTCTGATAGTGATGTGATTCTCAAAATAAGGTGCCTGTCTGCTTAGGTGCCTTGAGATACCATCGCCAATCGTCAGCTGTCTGCTGGCTCAAGTTACCGTCAAAATCTCCCAAGGGCTGCACAATGTGACGCATCAACATATTGTGAAGCAGTATACTATGAAGAATAATTATTATAATATAATATTGTAACTTCAGGCTCAGAAGTGCTAGATCCCAGAGCCGTAAAGCCAGTTATCAAGAAGAAGAAGGATGATCGATCTTGCAGAAACATCGATGATGAAATCGATGTTGGTATCGATAGCTCAACATCGATGTTCAATGTTTAGTCTACTCAAAACATCGATGTTGCCCATTATCGATGATTTTTGTATATGTGTAGATACTTACATATTGTTTCAAAGTTATGTGGGTATGCACAGCAAGGGAAAAAGTAACAATTAACTTGAATATCAATTTACGTAGAATAGTTATTATGCGACAACCGACAACGACAATACAGAATAAAGCAAAAGCAGTTGCCACTGTGACCTTACAGGTGACAATTTACAATTAAATTTGAAAAAAAAAAAACCTAAAAAAATATCATTATGTTGTGTACCATAATGATATTTTTTTTAGGTTAACGATGCGTTCAGGAATTCTAAATTATTCAGCATTTTAAACTTTCAGAAGAGATGCAAGATTTAGTTGATATTGATTTCGCGGGTTTGCAAATTCCTGATAATCGATTATGGGTTCATTGACATCGATGTTTCGATGTTTGTCACGTGTCCACATCGATGTTAAAACATCGATGTTTTAACTTTAACATCGATGATCATCGAACATCGATGTTAAAAGTTTCCTGTATATACTTAATACTCTTTAGCACAGAGTACTTTTTATATACTGATTACTGAAACTCTTTGGTCTTTGGTGCGTTTTGGGTGTTTCTGTTTCCCGTTGTTTTATTGATTTATATTCCTTTTCCTCGACCACTGCTTTCTTTCTATGGACTTTTGATCTTACTTAACTTGTACACGCGTAGTGTTTCTATATAGTTTGTGCTTGTACACTTGTACGTCCCTTGCTGTCATGTACCGGACACCGATAATCTCGTTTTCCCGTTTGACTTTGGCTCGTTATTGTGGATTTTACTGCCTGGACGTTGTTGATTGGATATTGATACAATGGATCGCTGTGTGAATTGTGGCATAGCGACTAGTCGCTGTAATACACTAGGTGGGCGATCCCTTGATAATGAAACGACACTGGCAGTGATTCGTCAATGGCGTGCACCACATCCTGTAAGTTTTCACCTTTTGCTCGTTAGCTAACCAGCGTCTCCTACGCTGACCTACAGGTTTCTTCCTATGTTTTCCATAACTGTTAAGCATGGGCTACACTAACGATTACTGTAGATAACGCGTTATTGGATACTAAATATTTGTTTTGAGAGATGGAATTTCTGAAAATCCTTTTTTAGGCTTCGTTATAACAGAAACCGGCTTTAAAAAAATTATGTTTGTAGTTGCAGTAGTTTAGGCTCTGCGTTGATAATAGGTGTTCCTGAACAATAATAATAATTAACAGCATTAAACCTTAGTGTAGCCCTGCATTATACTTACAAGTATAGGTACTTAAACATATAAAAGGCACATGAAGATTGTTTACATTTCACTAAAAACTTAAACTGATGGTGTATTCTACAGTAATCATGATTTATTGACATTAAAAACTTTTCCCATCTTTCAGGTAAACAGCAGTGACCATGTTTGCCAAGCTTGCTGGGATTTGGCTCAACAACCATCTGTTGATAAACAACGACAACTTGGCCACCATAATGTTTGTCTCCGTTGTGGTCGTTCTCTTGCATCACGAGTCAGCCATCTACTTAACACAGGTTCCGCTCGTGAATTGAGAATTTATAATGTTATACAAGAGAGGATTATGCCTCGAAATGTAAGTTGAATCAGTTTATATGTTATTTATTACTACTTTTACAGAAATCCAAATAGATTATTAAATATGAAATATGAATTATGTATGTTTTTTGCAGGTAGAAGAAGCAAGTCGCATATGCCACAAGTGTTGGGTGGCTGCAGACAGAGCTGCTATCCATATGGTGACAGGCCCATCAACTTCTTTCCAAGGATGTTCCCTAGAAGATGTGCAGCCACAGGTACAAGATCTTCCTACTGAAACTTCAAATGAAGAATTTGGAAATAAACAAACCGAACCTACCATTGTATTACCTGATTATATGAGAGCTATTGAAACAGAAAGAAGGTGCTTTATTAAAGGATGCCAGAAATCAGAGAGGTACAGAGTTCCACTTTCTACAAGAAAAATGTTGCTCAGTCAATATAAATATTATATACCTGAAAATAATCGTCTGTGTGACCGACATTTAGTCATTGAAGCTGGGGATATTCTAGACAGTTTGAGAACTAATTATGTACAGACTTTTACTGCTAAACATATACAGGACATGATGTCCTTAAAATAAGTTGTTGAGACAGGGTTGCTTTATTTTGAGAGTATAGATTATATGGAAGCTTGTGTTGTACATGCATGGATTGTGGTAAATAAAGCACAGTTCCATCAATTGTTTACTGAAGTTCCTCAGTGATAGGAAATACCACGAGTATGTCTAGCTTTAGCAGCATACTTAATGAAGCTAGGTCTGGGGATTCTGCTGAGAGTTTGTCAACTTTATTAAAAGTTTCTAGGCGTATCCTTGAGAAGTGATTGTGCCAAGTGAGGCAACTTCTCCCTGAATATTTTGTACCAAGAAGGCTTAAATCATTTAAATAAGCAGCAAATAGTGCAAAGGAATCTTGCAATACCAAATACATTGTTTGGTAAGTTTCAGGGAGTTGATAATGGCCCAATGATAATGTTTGATGGAACTTATTGTTAAATTGAAAAAAGCTCAAATTACTTACGAGGGGTGATCCAAAAGTAATGATAATCGGTTACTTCAGGTCTGCATAAAAATCCAAAAAAAATATTTTTTGCTTGCTTATATACTCACTACGTCAGCCTAAAAAAATCATATAAATAGATCACGATTTCCGGGAGATACATTCATTTGAATACGAACTGTCAAAGAGATAACCAGGGTTGGCTGATTTAAATCAGACTGATTTAAATCATGATTTAAATCACGATTTAAATCGCCCGATTTTGAATAAAAAAATCATTGATTTAAATCAACATGTATAAATTAATGTAATAGGCAGAAAATGAAATAAAACTGGCTTAAAATAAAGTAAAATCTTTTATTGTTTTATGTTATTCTTATTATTCTACTACAATAGTCTCATAAACTTTGCAAAATCAACAAAGACGTAGCGATGAGATCTGTCAGTTTTAAAATCAAATTTTTTATTTTTTAGAAATTCACTCTTAATATGTATATGAACTGTAATTAATACAGTATGTATTAATTATTTTACTCTTAATCAGTTTCATACATATCTATACAAATAAATAAAATTGAAGTGTCTGTTTGTTATGTCAAACTTATCGCTTTTTACTAAATGCATATGAAAGTATATACGATAAGTATAACAAAAATACATTTTTTTAAATTTATGTCTGTCTGTCTGTCTGTTTGTTCCTGCTAATCTTTGAAACGGCTGGACCGATTTTGACGGGACTTTCACTGGCATATAGCTGATGTTATAAGGAGTAACCTAGGCTACTTTTATTTTAGAAAAAGAATTAGGGTTCCGTGCAAAAAAACTAAAACCCCAAATAACACGCAGGCAAAGTCGCGAGGAACAGCTAGTGTGTTCATAAACTTTTAATCCTACTATGTTAAAAAGTGTTACCAACTCGTGTATTTCCAAATATACAAAAAAATCAAAAAATTCAAAAAAAATCAAAAAAATCATGATTTTTTTTAAAAAATCAGCATGATTTGATTAAAATTAAAAAAATCATGATTTTTTCCATCCCTGGAGATAACATCAACATGGAGAAAAACGAAATTTGAGCTGTCATCAAGTACCTCTGTTTGAAAAAAATGTCTTCAAAAGACATACACAGTGACTTAGTGGAAACATTGGGGGACTCTGCTCCTCCATATTCTACAGTTGCACGCTGGGCTAAGGAGTTTAAACTGGGCAGAACATCCACTGAAGGTGAACATCGCGAAGGATGCCCATCCACGTCTCTCACTGAAGACAACGTGAAAAAAGTCAAAGATGTTGTGTTGGCAGATCGAAGAGTGACCATCAGGCATGTAGCTGAGGTCACAGGGATCTCATATGGCAGCGTTCAAAGAATCCTTGCGAACGAGTTGCATATGAAAAAGGTCTCTGCGCATTGGGTACCCAGAATGTTAACCGACGAGCAAAAGAAAAATCGAGTTGACATTTTGAGGGTCAATCTCGAAAAGTTCCAAGCAGATCAAGAAAATTTTTTGTTCCGTTTTGTGACTATGGACGAGACTTGGCTCCACCATTTTGATCCTGAAACAAAACAACAATCGATGACTTGGAAGCGAGCCTCCTCACCGACGCCAAAGAAATTCAAAGTTTCAAGTTTGGCGGGAAAGGTTATGGCATATGTTTTTTGGCACGCTCAAGGCATAATTATGGTGGAATATTTGGAAAAAGGAGCCACTATTACGGGCTCTTACTACGCGGACCAAATAAGAAGATTACGGGAGGCCATTAAGGAAAAAAGACGCGGCAAACTGCGAGCTGGAGTGCTGTTTCACCAAGACAACGCACCGGCTCACAAAGCCGCAGTTGCGATGGCTGCCATTCAAGAAACGGGATTCGAACTGCTCGAACACCCTCCCTATTCGCCAGATCTAGCTCCTAGTGATTTCTACCTCTTTCCTCGGCTCAAGGAACGCCTCCGAGGCAAGAAATTCGAAGACGATAGCGAAGTAATGGCCACTGTTGAAGCGTTTTGGGAGGGTCAAGACAAAGAATTTTTTTTAAAGGGAATCCTGGGTTTAGAAAAAAGATGGACTAAATGTATTGATTTGTTAGGAGACTATGTAGAAAAATAAATTATTATTATAACTTTAATTACCGTGTTTTATTTTCATTATCATTACTTTTGGATCACCCCTCGTATACCAAAAAAGAACATATAGCATGCACAAATATTACAGCCTTGTAAAACCGTTTTTAATGGTATGTACTGATGGACACATAATTGATGTTCTGAGCCCCTATCCAGCTACCACTAAATTGTGAAAAAATAATTTTCAAATGAAAGACCATTACGGGTATACTTCCTTCAAGGTGATGCTTTTATACTGGACAGGAGCTTTCGTGATTCATTATACTTACTGCATCAATGTGGATATAGGACTTATGTGCCTGCTTCATTAGAGGAGGGTGTAACACAGCTTTATACTATTGAAGCAAATAAATCGAGAGCAGTCACAATTTGCCGTTGGGTGGTGGAGGTTGTTAATGGTCGATTCAAAAGAGATTTTAAATTACTACCGCAAAACTAGTTTAATGTAGCAAGTAAAAGTTTCTTGAAAGATTTTTAAGGTGGCTGCTGCTCTTTTAAACAGTTTTCATCCTCCTATAGTTGATCGAGTACATAGGTTGCACTAAAAGTATCGGGAATGGAATATTTCCACTGTTCCTGTCATATCAAAATCTTTTTAATTGAAAACTCCTTGGTTTTAAAAATCGAATACCATTTATTTATTTAAAAAAAGATTCTCGGTCTTGTCACAAGGTTTTGTCAAACATGTTTAGTCGTTGAGAAAATGGAATTGACTTGAGAAAATTCAAGAGCGATGATTTATTATGACTTTCGAAGTGGTTTAACACAAAAACAGTGTGTTGACCGGATGATTTCTGCATTTGGTGATGAAGCCCCATCCAAAACCACAATTTATCGCTGGTTTGCTGAATTTCAACGTGGACGTGTCAAGCTCAGTGATGATCCCCGTCAAGGTCGTCCAAAAACTGCAGTCACCCAAGAAAACGTTGATGTTGTGCGTAAGCCGATTGAGGAAGATCGACATGTGACATACCGCGAAATTCAGGCAACTTTAGACATTGGCATGAGTCAAATACATATAATCTTGCATGAACAATTAGGTGTAAAAAAGTTGTTTTCCCGATGGATACCGCATTCGCTCTGTGAAGAGCAAAAAGCGGCTCGCGTTACTTGGTGCGTCAGAACTCTCGAAAGATTCCACGCAGGATCCTCAAATGCTGTATACAACATCGTATCAGGTGACGAATCCTGGATATACGCGTACGAACCCGAAACAAAAAACCAGTCACGAGTTTGGGTGTTCGAAAATGAGTTAAAGCCAACAAAAATTGTTCGTTCACGGGTGTTGCAAAAAAATGGTGGTCACGTTTGTCTCCAAAACCGGCCATGTTACGACTATTCCTCTTGAGGGACAAAGAACGGTTAATGCAGAATGGTATGCTACCGCCGCATCATCCTCTAAAGAGAACTGCAACCGCCGCATCATCCTCCATCACGACAATGCGAGTTCTCACACCGCATACAGAACAAAAGAGTTTTTAGAGCAAGAAAACATAGAATTATTAGACCATCCGCCGTACAGCCCCGACCTAAGCCCTAATGATTTCTATACTTTCCCTAAAATAAAGAATAAATTGCGTGGACAGAGATTTTCATCACCTGAAGAAGCTGTGGACGCCTACAAAACGGCCATTTTGGAGACCCCAACTTCCGAATGGAATGGTTGCTTCAATGATTGGTTCCATCGTATGGAAAAATGTGTCAAATTTCGCGGAGAATACTTCGAAAAGCAATAAATACATTTTTAAATAGTAATGTTGTGTCACTTCCTTGATTTCCGAAATTTTCAGTGCCGCCCTCGTAGATGCTGGGGATATAATAGAACTAATAAATATGAATATGAATGTACAAAATGAATTAGCAGAATTTATTGTATGAAACAATTATAATAAGCGTAGGTCTAATTTTGAAACAATTACTGTACAGAATGATAATTTAAATGATTTTCCCCAGCTTACCGATAGTGAAATAATTTCAATTTCATTAGGGACATAACAAATAAAGCAGGCACGGTCCTACTATGGTGAGCAAGTAAGAGGTAATGATGGCTTTATAATTGAAGTGTGCAGGGAGGTCAGCAGCAGCCAGTCTACTACGAGACTTGTCGACTTTTAATTCTTCATGGCTGTTAAGGGGACGCATTCAGTCCAGACATAAGCCGAAAAACATATTTTGTGTACTTTTTAATCGACAGCTCTCGAAGAGGTAGGGAAGTAATACTTTAACATTATTGTAACTGCATCGTAGGCAAACAAACTGTAAGCTGCTACGCATATCTATAATATGGTACCTTAGTTAGGCTAGGTACCAAGATAATATAGTACCACCTGCACAATTCTTAGATGATATTCTAATCATAATTGAAGACGAATAAAAGAAAATTAAAAAAAAGGTTTTTTTAAACATCACCTACCCCCCTCCCCCCACTCCCCACCTCGCCCTTCCTTTCCCTTTCTTCCC